AATAACTGCATTTCTTAATCAAAGACCAAACTGTCTAGGTAATTGGTACAGAACAGACCACTGGAAACATTTTAGTGAGTGCCACACAGGGCAGTAAAATTAGTTAATAGCTACATATGTCATTTATGGATGTTTTTCTTCAATCAATGAACTAGCAGGATCTGTAGACATTAGAGGACACCTGAAGGTCCTTGTTACACCAAAATCCTCGTTATTTTCCATGGCATGCTGGAATAAAATTACGTTTCACTCCTTTTGTCATTATGTCTACAACAGGTGAGGCCCAGTGCCCTGCTGGGAACGTCATTAATCTAACTTCCTCTCCAAAATTTTTGGCATTCTGTATCATGACGAGCACTCAGCGGGCAAGCCAGTTCACAGGATGTTTTCCAGCTTAAACATGCCAGAGTAAATAAAAGTGTAGCTATTTGAGTTTTATAGAAAAGCAAAATGATTTCAGTTTATTAAATTAGATACGCAGGAGAGAGAAATGTAAGTCTTAGCTTCAAAATCTACTAAGCTTACTATGCATTAGAAAGAATTTTATGGTAGTTTTATTGAACATTTGTACAGAAACCGAAATAAAAATTATTGATGGAGAATCTAAAGGGCATTGGACATCACTAAACTTTTTTAGGTGGGTGTCTAGAAGAAGGTAAGATAGGACCAAATCTTGAATACTGAGTGAGAACCCTGCTCACCAGTAGGATCTGTGTTGTTTTTCCTTTACTCAGTGACTTATTCCTGCTGTGGAGCAAGGCATGAGGAGGAAAAAATAAATAGTGTCATGTTTTCCCTGGTTGTTTTACTAAATGAATTGAAATTAATCTTGTTTTAAAACCCTGTCTCAAAAAAATTCTCTAAAATATTAACTTAATATAAGATTGGACTTCTAAAAGTAAAATTATGCCATTCTGTGGTCCTTCAAATTACACTTTTAACTATTTAAAGGGTACTTGTGCCCAGCCTGTGTGGCTTAGTTGGAGGTCACTAGTTCGATTCCTTGTCAGGGCACATGCCTGGGCTGCAGGCTCAATGCCCAGTAGGGGGCATGCAGGAGGCAGCCATTGATGTCTCTCACCGATGTTCTTCTCTCTCTCTCCCTCTCGCTTCTTCTCTCTGAAATCAATTAAAATATATATATATATTTAAAATAAAAATAAAGGACACTTGTATGGTAGATTTGTTATGTGTTTGTTCCTAACTGGAGATGCGCTGAAAGTGCCCAAGGCAGTACCTGGCACCTAGTAGACAGTCAGTAGAGAGTTGCTGAATGAACGTGTGCGAAGGTGGTGTCCTGGTGTGGCAGTGTGTTTTATTGTGCAATATAAAGATTTTTAAATCAGTAGAGAAAAACATACAAAAGAAGGCATGAACCCATCACCCAGCTTGATCAATTATCAACTCATGGCCAATTTGTTTCAACCATACTACCCATACTTTTCCCTTCCCATATTATTTTGAAGCAAATTCCAGATATATCAATTCTTTGATAAATATTTCAATATCTATCTCTGAAGTATCAGGCCTCTTTTCTTTAAACATTACCACAGACCCTTATCATACCTGAATATTAAAATGATCCCTTAATATCATCAAGTATCCTATCAGTTTTCAAATATTTATCTCATAAATATCATTTCCCCCACATATTTTCATTTGAATCAGGACTAAAAAAGATATACATATTGTGATTATTTGTTTTATTTCTTAAATATTTTTTAATCTTTAGTTCTTCCCATCCTCTCTTGATTTTCCACCTTATAATTTATTTCTTGAAGAAACTGGGTTGTGTGTTGCAGCGTTTCCCACAGCCTGGAGTTTGCTGATTGTATCCTAATAGTGTCACTTACTTAAGTTTCGCTTATGTTCCTCTGTCTCCTGAATGTCCTGTAAACTGGTAGTTGGAGCTAAAGGCTCGATCAGATTCAGATTCAGTTTTCTTCTTGGCAAGTTCAAAAAAGAAGGTGGTGACCAAGTCATAATGACAGCATTATTGGCTTTTTGCTTAGTGCCTTGCATGTTAATTTAGCTAACATTTATTGAGTATTTTTTTATGTGCCTAGGAATGTACTTATGTTCTATAGGTATGTCATTTGGTCATATTTAAGACTCATAATACTATTATGTATCCATTTCTATCTGATGACCAGACCTCTAATTAGGGCCAAATAATCTTAAATGTCTTCAAAACAAACCCCTTGGTATATGCCCCCTATTGTCCTTTATGTGATGTTAAGTTGGAATTTTCTGAATTTTCTTTTTACTGGATTCATTTAGAGTATACAAAAATACCTTGCATTAAAAGACATTTTTTAATATTTTAATAAAATTAAAATAATAAAGCTTAAAGACCTATTTTTTAGCTGTGAATTTGTTGTACTTGAGCTTTTTGGTAATGGGATTCACCATCTGTTAACCTGACAAAGACTGATATCTAAACCATAAATAGGGCCAACTGAATTCAGTATTTCCTGAGTCTCTTTTTCCTTTGCACTCATTGTCTTCTGCAGGTGCACTTTTATGTCTCTTTCATCTCTTTCTGCTTTCATTGTATGCTCACAGTACTCACAGTATCCTACTGTTGCCCAGTGTGAGAAACTGGCTTGTGATTTTAAAAGCAAAACAAGCTTTTTGTTGTTTGTTAACATATCTTTAATTTATTCTGCTCAGTTCCCCCCATAGTCCTAAATTTTAATGTATAAAACCAGACCATTGGAACTCCAGACCAAAAAAGAAATGTCAAATTATCTTGACCAACTGCCAATAGAAGATTAAACTGTTTGATATGTGATTTGTTGACCCCAAGAAGGAATGTACCTGCCAAAAAGGACTCCTGTGGTTAACAGGGCCCAAATTTATAACTGGAGTCTAACAGCCATTGTTTGTAGAAGCCTCTCACTGCACACTGTGTATCAGGGAAGTGCCTCAGACTGAGCTGCCAGTCTCTTGTACTGAGTTTCTGCTGCCTGAGCTGTACCTTATAAAGAAGTTTCTGGAATTATATTTCAACCAACAGCAGACAGCTGCTCCATCCAGTTGGAGCTGCACATTTGTAGCCTCCTTTGCATCTTTTTTTTTTTTTTTTTTTTAATATATTTTTTTTTTTTTCAGAGAG